GTACATTACCTTTATTAAGTGTCAACGAAAAAATTTTTTTATTTTTTTTTACCAACATTTGAAAAAATCTGACCTCCTTATGATACGCTTTGGATAATGCCAGCGGTATTTTTTATTATTATTTATATAAGTATATGTATGTATATATTAAATGTGAATGATTTGCAAGAGAGTGACAAAATATTTTATAATTTATAGAAGATTGTGTTGCAGAGTCATCAATTATGAGAATTTCATCAAAATGTTGAAATGATCATCATAAAAGTATATTTTAATTTTGATAACTTATAAGTAAACTTCGGATTATATGCATGGAAAATTTAGAAAATATGCGCATATATATGCACGGATTTTTGGAAACTCTTAATTTGCATTACATACTGTAATTTTATCTCGTCCTTGCGTATATGTATATATATTCTAGAAAGATATATATATTATAAGAGTACTAATAATAAGTCCGTATTATCAATGTGATTAGGTATATAGATACTTATGTTAAAGTTTGAAGACCTTCATGAGCATTCTAGCATTCTAGCATACATGAAGTTTCTGACAAAAATATAAAGTGATATTTTTGCGAAAAATCTGTTGAAATCTTTAATTTATCGTTGCACGATTTATAAAAATCGTCGATATAATTTGCATTTTGGTATATATTTCATCGATTTTATAGTTAGCATCTGACGAGGATGCTTTTTAAATCACACATAAGGTCGCGCAGATTCAGTTATTAATTACGCGTGTATCTCCACATCAGTTCAACGAACTCTGGAAGGATTAATTCGGTAAATTCAACTTCCTTCGACGAGACTTAACCCGGGAGACCTCAACTTGACATTGAAATAATGAACCAAGAAAGTAATAAATTAAATATTACGGGATGAGACACACTTACAAGGAAACATTCAAACTGCTCTTGACCAATATTTAAAGAACTTAAAATATAATTGATGAAATATCATCCAAACAAAAGAAATAAGAAATATAAAAAAAAAAATGTCGCGGAAGCAAAAGACTTTAATGGTATTATAAAAAAATGTTTTATATTTATTTAAATATTTTTAAAAAGCAAAACTTTTCTAAAATAATTTGCATTTTTTTTTTTTTTAGAGACTAGAATAAATTGTTTGCAATATAAATTATATTCGAGAATATCAAATTCGAATCAGATGTATTTCCAAAAAGAGATATATGTAACTGTAAGCACACACACAGACCTTTATGCAACTGCATTGGAAGTTCGTAAATCCGGGAGGGACGACGGTGTCACGGATGCGCGTTTTCGTAATAAACATGTGACACGTTTTCGCGCATGCGAAAGCGGAAAAGGCGCGCGATAGCGCGAAAAAAGCCGGCGCGCCGGGTCGACGAACTTGCGTAGGATTAATTTGGCATGCGTTCGTAACTTCCTTCAACGAGACTTAACCCCTCGCGATCCCCGCGACTTGACACTCGAGCGAGATATAAGAGTGCCTGGAAATGAGATCGCGGCGGTTAAAAAGAAGCAAGCGCGCGCGCTCGCGCGCGCCTTGTCTGGCGGTGCGCGTGTCGGCCGCTCGGACGAAATCCAGAATTAAACTTCGCGGACCCGAAGTGGCGAAATTAATTCACGCAATCATTCGCGCGTGATTGAACCTTCACGGCGGCCCCCTCGATTCAGATACGCGCGATCGCCATAATGGCGGATCGCATGCGCGTTCGCGCGTTTCGAGATTACATCCCCGACGGGGATGGCTTGACACAGAGATCCATCGATTTCATGCTCTCATGCGATCCCGCGGGGGATAATTACATCTTTTTCCCTCTCGCGAAAATATCTGTGACACTGAATAAACTGCGCGTTATTACGTCGAGGTCGACGGGGTGCCTCCGACAGAGAATAGAACGAGGGCGATAAATATCATTCAAACGAACGAAAAATTCTCCTTTTTTTTCCCTTTATTTTACCTAACCCCGTCGAGAGAGCCTCATGCTTTGTTTCTTTTTATCCTCTTTTTCACTTCTCCCGCGCTTTCATCACTTCTCTTCGTGTCTGTCTTTCTATACTGAATGTTAAACGCCGTCATACTGTCGCAGGCTGAAAAATGAGAAGAGACGGCGGTGCACTTGTTTGGATGCTGTTATTACTATCGTAAAATCTTTCTACGTAAAACATGCAGCAATATAATATATGAATATTAAATAATATCTGCGAGAAGTATATATATTGTTAGATTTATGAAAAATGTATAAACTACTCTCGCGTATAATTTATATATTAGAGTATCATGAAGTTAAAATATAAAATATAATTATTTTCCGCTAAAAAGAAAATAGCTCCGAGTTGTCTGTAGCATCCAAAATTAAAAGACCGACGACAGTTTTGAAATTATATACACATATTCTTATAATGAAATACTGTCTCACGTATTATTCTTTTAGAGTTACAGTTGAAAATTTAATATAAAAAAGTAAGAGGACGTATTACAATCCCCCCCAAAAAAATAAAGATACTTCAAGAGAAAAATTATTCTTTCAGACACTTTATACTAATACTGTCATAATAAAACTCTTTTCATCTTATATATTGTAAGTGAAAATGAAATCTTTTCATAATGGCTCTCGCATATGGAGACTTTTTTTTCATCAAGAACAACTTATTGAGAAAATATGACTCTTAAAGCCTTAATGATATTAAATTTTTATTTTTGCAATCTATTACAGTAATACAGTGCCATTTTTTTGACCGAGTATTTAGCTCGGGGAATCTTTCGTCTCGGAACAGCCAAACGTCTCGTTTTCTCTATCTCTCGTTCTTTTTCTTCTCGTTCCCCTTTCTGCTGCTCTTTCCTCCCTCTGGATACCGTCATGCAACGAACGGCAGGTTCAACGAACCCGAGATGACGTGACACCACCATGTCGGGAATTTATTATCCGAGTCCGTTGTCCAACGACCCTCGCCTTTTTTTTCGCGTGCATCGCGATTTGAGCGCGTTCTTGGCTTAGTTTCTTCCCGATTTCACTAGCGCGCCGTCATCATGCGGTCACGGATGTGTGTATGTGACGTCCCCGGCATGCCGTCGATTTTTTGCGATGGACGTTTGTCACGCATGATTCTTGTATCGCCACGACCGAGCGAGTGCATGCTTTACGCAAGTGTTTTATCGTTACGAGTTCGTTACCATTATCTCTGTAGGAGGAATAAAAAAAAATCATGGATACTATATAAATAACATTTTAGTCATGAGAAACAGATGAAGAGATGACGCAATTTCGTAAAAGCACCTGATATTTTGTATACATCGATATTTTATAAAAATACAGGAAGAATATTGGAATATTATTGTGTTTTATTTGCCATTACATGATAACTCTTATATTGTGCTATCTTTTCGTAAATTATTTCTGTTTCAAGTTCTTTGAAAAGTTACAGCTATATTTTTAATTAAAATTTGATAAATTGTTTTTATTTCGTAGAAGATTTGCACCTGTTACTAAATACTTATGTAAGAATTGTGACTTATGTAGTTACAATTTTTCAACAATTCTTATATTTCATATATACTAATAAAATCACTAATAAAAATCACATATACTAATTTATATATCGATACTTTATATGTAGATATCTTCGATATTTAGGCTGTTTTTATTTTTAACGAAAATTGGTGAACCAGCATTGCCATCATAATTAGTAAGAATTAATATTGAATTAATTAAATCGCTAAAATGGATATTTCTTATTTTGAGATTAAACTTTTAATAATGAAGATTTCTATTTTTCTTATATAAATCGATTATTAAATGGGACAGATTCTGTTTATAAAACTTTATGTTACTATTTTCTGTACATCTCTTCACGAGAACAATTTTTTTTTCGATTTTTTCACAATCTCCACAGGATTATATCTTATTCGGAAAATATCTTCATTTTTTATAGAGTTTTTATTTGCAACTTTATTGCAATTTTCAAATGCCAGTTGTAATAAATATTATTAGAAATTATAGTTTTTTCTAATATTATGTTTAAAAAAAAAAAAACACGAAATCCTAGAAAAGTAATATGTCATACTATCAATGGTATAGATCAAGGATATAATCGCCAAATATAAAATATAACATGTAATTAATGTCATGCTAAGAAGATAAGGCGAACAGAATTTTGGACGGATCGTGATTCTTGGGGAATAAAGAAGGACAGGTGAGACAAAGGAGAAAGATTCTCCAGCAGTGTCGCACGAGTTTCTTCGCCACTGCAAAATGCCATTTCTCGGCGTAACGCACGCCAGGCTTAATTGGCGTCGCGGAATAACTCCCATGAGACGTCATTGTTATTATGAAGCTTGCTCTTCGCGCGATTCGTGCTCGTGTGACTCAAGTGAACGCCTGCCCAGAACCCACGTCACTTTGCTTTAACGACGCCACACGGATCCCACGATTGAGTAGACTATATAGACGACCGAAATTCGTCTACCCAAATGCGCTAAAGTGAACTTTTATGGGATATTTGCGAATGCTTCGCGGAACGTTAAATTAGGGTTAATCTCGTTAGCGCCATATCTCCGATAAAAACGTCGCGACGTACAACACACTTTTTTTTTTTTTACGAACGTCGTGCGGTAGAGCTATATAGATCTGGAGAATATAATTAACACATTTAGCGCCGACGATAATTCTGTAGTTTCGCTTGCAGAGTCTGTGCTAATGGTTTGCTGCAACCACGCGAAAAGCGAGAGACGAAAGCGGCCAATAGCGAATACGTATAAGTTTTGAAATTTTATTGCAGTCACGTAAAAAATTATGTGAGAATATATTTGAAGAAATTTAAATTTAAATCATTGTTTTACATTACATTAAAGATACGATTATTTAGAAAAGAATTTTTTTTCAGATATTTATATAGATATATAAATTATTTTATTTCTTTTACGTAAAGAGTTTTATATTGGAAAATGTAGGGCGGAAAGATTAACAGAGAAATTCTCTTTTCTGAAAATACGACATTTTAATGTTTGCAGAGTGGAAAGCTCAGCGTTGCAGTTGGTGTGCCCGCTGGATTCTCGTCCGGTGCAGCTAATCTTCCGAGGATTGCAGGTGGTCAAGGAGAAGCGAGTGCTCCTTCGAGATGTTTCGGGAGTCGTCAAGCCAGGCGAATTATTGGCCGTTATGGGCCCTTCAGGTATGTAGTCATCTCTCTTGTATTAATTGATTTCACACATTAAATCTCGCGACGCGCATAACATCAACTATAT